ATTTGTTACTATTCAACACAGTTGGTTGCCATTCGAGGTATCAATGGTCTTGAAAATTTAACAAATATCAGTATCAATTATTTTATTTTAGGGATTGCGTGCTATACTCTAAACTTTTCCCTTAATCTTGTAAGGTGAAATAGAAATTAAATGTCAGGAATTGGACAATGAGTTTAAGTTGGTGATAAGAAAATTATTTACTGATTTTTCTAAAATGGCCACAATGTCGTTTCATAACAAACTATTGATCATATAGACATATAGTCTTAGTGTTTCAAAAAAAAAAAAAAAAATAGACATATAGTCTTAGCAAAACCCTAAAATCCGGTAAGCGAGGAGCTACGATGGGGACCTACACCTACTGATATATTCGTTGAGGGTTTCAAATTTATGCATTCAAAACATTTATATGCCAACGGTGGCTCGAAGAGAATAAACCAAAAATTTCATTTACTTCTCTTAATTAGAGATAGAAAGAAAAAGACTGAAAAGACAAGACAGACATCAAATCGGATCTCTATCATACGACTGCCAGGGCTTTCTTGTGTTGTCATCCTTTTTCACTAATATTTTTCAGTTTCTTGCAATTATAAAAATTAAACCAGTATAGTACAAATATCATAAGATAGATAAATTTAGAAAAAAATAACAGTTTCTTTCTTTCTTTACTTTTTCTGTCAAACAAAATATAAGCAAAATAAAATAAATATCACCCGCACGTGTGTTCTACCTGAACTCACAGTGTATGTACTAGGCCTAGTATGTACCATTCGAAGAATATTTAATCCAAGAATTAGATTGACTGGATTGGAAAAACATCGTAGCTATATACTTAAGATTTCACCAAATTTTAAGCAAAAAATATATATACTTAAGATTTGCCAGAACAATGTAATTAAGTTTCTCTTGGTACAAAAAGTATTATTAGTAAAAAAAAAACTTAAGTGTGAGACATCCGCATATGATAGACAATAAACATATGTCATTTTCAACGGTAATGTTTGTTTTCTCATAGAGATAAATAGCTTCTATGCAATTCTAATTAATTTTTCCACTAGTTACCTATATATATATATAATTCAAAAATGTAATTTTCAAAGTAACAATTTAGATGATTACTTCATATAGTAGATAACAATATATTGCATGTCATAAACAATTTAGATGTTTACTTAACTAACAAGATAATATTATTGATTCAAACACAATAAAATGCTATAGTCTTATCAATACTTTAAACTGATTACACTCACAAGTTTTCCAACTGTAAATCTATAGCTATATCCGCATACAGTGATCAGAACAGGTTTAAGAGTTTTAATCATCTTTAACTATATTAGACCTACTATTTTAATTGGAGTGGTTTATATAATTTAGTTTAGGTTTGATATTTTGCAGTTTTTGGATAGTGTTTCAAGAAATTAAGTTAAAACAAAAAAAATAAGTAGGAAATAGTATTATAGTGGCCTGACAGAGGGACCCGATCAACCGGCCGACATGCATCCGCATGTCCACCAATTTTTAATTTTACATTTTTGCTGTGATTAAAGATTTTTTTTTCTGTCCTAAATATACTTTTTATCTGCATTATTGTTTCTGATACAGAGTAAATTGATTAGTTCAGACTGGACAACCCTTTTAGCTGAATTAAGCACATACCGCTTTGAACGAAAGTTCTCTAACTAGCCATGCAGATCTTTATTTTTATTGGGTTGTTTTTTTGAAATGGATTAAAAGAGTGGTAAACGATATAAAATTTATCTAATTCAATATCTACCTAGTCATATTTTTTGGAACTTTTATATAGTAATTTTGTTGGCATCTGTCATTAGTTTTACAAATTCTCCTGAAACTGAAGTTAAAAATAAAAGTTTATATTTAAAAAAATAAATATTTCTGAAATATAAGAATATATAGATTATGATAATCTTGGGACGAAAAACCTTACTTAATGACATTACAAATTGTCTGAAATATGTTGTTTGTTTCTGCATGTCTTTAACTTTTTCTTGTCTGAGTATTTATGATATTACAAATTATGAGAAACATTACATAAACGATATTACATCCGACAATTATACCTGTCTTATGTAGATTCATGTCTGACTGTATCACCCTAAGTCGTCCTATGAGATTCATTCCTGACGGTACTCCTTGCGCCATATTAAAAATCTCTTGTAAACATTTCTCCATTTTTTTTCTGCATAATTCGCTTTCTGTAGGATTGAAACCTAGAAATTGCATAGTCTGGAGTTCGAACCCCAGACCTGAATGTAGAATCCTTAATCCCTTGACCACTAAACCACAATGTTTCTATAACATGTCCTTAATTTGTAACATACTTATCTATCAGGGCCATAACGGTTATTTGTTTCTTTTCATGTTTAAAAAACTTCTAATCTAGTGAATCAAGAGTTGAATCACTAACTTTAAATCCAAGTACTTCCATAACGTAACCTGAATCATATACATTTTCTACATCATAATCTACTGTAAGAACTCTATAAATTAATAATGTTAAAAATTTAATATTTTGTTAATTAATTTATAAGATGTTAATCTACGAAAACTTTCTTTTTAGATTTTACTATTTTAAGATATATTTTTCTAAAACAACAAATATATTTGATTAGTATATATATATATATATATATACATATATATATATATATATATATTTGGTATATATAAGATATGTCTCATAGAATTTAAATGTCCTTTAGATATAATTTTACTAAATCTCATCAAAATATATTAAATGTTAAGAAATATAAAGATAATTTTATTATAAATGTTAAAAAATAATATAATGGTTTGGTTTCCACTTATACAAAATATATATACATATAAATTATTTATTTATAATTTTAATAGGACAAAATATTTTCTAAAAAAATATTATCTTATTATTTTATCGATTTATGTCATATTTTGAACTATCTAATTTAAGATCAAAAAAATTTATTAATTTATAATATATTAATTTATAGATTTTTACTCTATTATAAATCAAGTAGGAAAGAAAATAATTTTCTTATTCTTTCTTCATGTGGAAGAAAAAGTGGGAAACAAGAAAAGAGATGGTCAGAAATGGACCAACGGTCAAACGCCAAACCATCAAATCACATTTTTTACTAAGTACAGTCGAAGCTTTTAGTGGTTTTTCCTTAACGAATTAGGCCAATGTTCTTATCCATCACCGTCCTGTCCAATTTACCATTTTCAAGTTAACAATTTAACACGAATGAATATGGCTTCCAATAGTGATCTTGGTTGGTCTGTTTTTTCTCTGCGCTAAGTTTGGTGAATGCGTTACAAGAAATCAAGTTTCATCATAGACTTGTCGTATAGAGTGACGCAGTATAAATAAAGTATAGAAACACGTTACAAGTTTCATTTCAGTTCAGCATCTAAATATTCTGACTGCATCACCGTGTATGTCGAGTGCAACTAACATATTTATTTTGCAAGTTTGTGTATAAGTACTACAAACACTGGAAGTCTTTCGAATTTATTTCTACTTTGTTACCTATTGATAATCGAGTTAAAAGAAAAGATGTACATCATATAGAAAATTTTAGCCCCTCTTTAGCTATTTGAATATACTTTTGAATTTCTTTTGTCAGAGGATGACACTTTCTTCGTTGAATTTAACGTGTTACTATTGATTTGTTTAATTTTTTCTTTGAGCATTATGCTCTAGTATTTTGTGATCGGCCATGCTTCTGTTTCACTATGTCATTTAGCATTGTATAAGACAATTTTTCTTCCTTGCACCGAAAACTTGCAAAACCCTGATTTTATTAGCATTAGGTAACTCATGAACCCAATAATTATATGTTTATTATATAACATCATGGTGTTGATTGAGAATCACATGTCGTGAACCAAGCCAAAAAGACAGTTGCCAAAGATCTTGTCTTGGTTCTATTTTCCTTGCAACTTATTATAGAACTTGTTTAAAGGGTTAGGTCATTCGCAATGGTGTTATCTATTGGAGTTCTTAGATTTTAATTTTTTTAATTGTTATATTTTTAGATAAAAAAATATCAACTAATCACAGACCGTCATATGTCGTGGATGTCCTCAAATACTGTAATGATTCACTAAAAAGAATTCTTATTTAAGGATTTTAAAGATTGAATTCTTAGTTTTTGGTGAAATACATTGATTATTTAATTATTTTTTCCTTAAAGATTTTCTTTTAAAATCTATGTTGTGGATGCTCTTTAGATCATATGATTATAAATGTTCTTCTTTTTAGTGGGTTTTTAAGAGGTTTTTATTGCGTAGGTTCCATAAACAATATAAGAGTCAGTCACTATGAATTAAGAATCGATTCTTATGGATTTCTTGCACTGTTCGCGAATACCACTGACACGTGGCAACCTGCAATTGGTTCGTCTTTAATTTTTTTTGACAAAAAAAAAAGAATTAAGAAATCCAAGTGAATTTTTATGGATAATTGTGATCTTAGGTGGTATATGGTTCAGTTTAGGGTTTAACTAATGATAACTATTAGAACTGAAGTTTAATATATCTAATCAATTTATAACGAGCCTCTATCTCTTAATATATTTTGTTTCTTATATACGAAACTAGTTATTTCTCTTCTTTCCATGTAAAGCAAACTCTTTGGTCACTTTTCCTATTTTAGTAACAAAATATATCACTGAAATTTCGATTAACTCTAATTGCTTATTTGAATCTAATGAAAAGAAAATGGTATATACCAAATTCTCATTGCTCCTATCCAATAAAAGAGATCACATACGTCGACATTAATCATTTTCTTGTCTTTAATTTATTATAAATTAATTAGAGACCCCTTGGTCCGCCTATTCAGATCTCTGTCTGTTTCTCCTTCTCTATACACAGACCAAACTTTCAAACACTATAGACTCTCTCCCTCTCTTCTTCCTCTTCTCCATGAGCTTCTAAATCTAAGATAAAAGCTTGACCCGTTTCCACTTTCATGCTTTTTTCTTTCAAGAAAACAAACTATTTCTTCATCTTTTATAGCTTACTAAATTAAAGGAGAGTATTTTAAATAGTTAATTTGAAAACCCTAATTTGTTTTACTGAGAAGACATCAGCAAGAAGATGAGCAGCAGTGTCGAAGAATCTCTGTCGTTAGATTACCTAAACCTCTTAATAAACGGTCAAGCTTTCTCTGACGTCACGTTCAGCGTCGAAGGCCGTCTAGTCCATGCTCACCGTTGTATCCTCGCTGCACGTAGCCTCTTCTTCCGCAAAATGTTCTACGGATCTGATCCTTCACAAACGATAACCGGTTCAGCTAATCAAACCGGGTCAGGAACCAGATCGTCCTCAGTTGGAGGAGTCATACCGGTTAACTCGGTCGGTTATGAAGTTTTCTTGCTTCTACTACAGTTCTTATACAGTGGTCAAGTCTCATTCGTACCGCATAAGCACGAGCCAAGACTAAACTGTGGAGATAGAGCATGTTGGCACACGCATTGCACTGCAGCCGTTGATCTCTCTTTAGATATCTTAGCCGCCGCTCGTTATTTTGGCGTCGAGCAGCTCGCGTTGCATACTCAGGTTCTTTTTAATTAATGAATCTTGTTAGGTTAATTGATTCTTGATCTTTAATCTTTGGTCATGTACTGTTCGGTTTGCCTTAGTTCGGTTGAGTTAAATTTTGAAACCCTATTGGTGATACACGTATATGAAAATAGATAAGAGTTGTTATTGTCTTGATTTCATGTGTAAAGATTGCTTAATTTGCACGTACTGCAACTTACTTTCAGGATTTCGATGGCGATGGACTGATGTGTTGGCCAAAGAGAAAAATTACATAATTTATAATTTTCGTTTTCTTTTGTGGGTTTTTTTCCTTCTATATCCAAACTATATTTCATATAATATATATTTGAAAATAGTAACTTTGACTAATAACAGAGAATTTATTAGTAGCCCCAAAATTGAGAAATGACAGTATATGTTTTGGGAAAAGAGTATTACTTTATAATATTACCATTCTGAATGATTTTAAAATTCACAAATGTGTGTGGAACCGCCATTTAAGTTCAGCAATTCCTCAAATGCAATGATCAAAATCAAAAGATTTTATCATTCCATAGTCTTGAATTGTCTTAATTACAAATAGGTCTTTTCCTATCATGGTCTTACCCCCACTTTTCCTCATTTGGGTTTGGATACAATGAAACCCCTTGGTGAAAATGTCTACAATGAGAATGCATATTGATGCAGATAGAAAATAAGTGGTGGATATATATATACAGGGCCGGCCCTGGGTAATGCCTAGTGAAACATTTGTTTCAGACCCCCAAAATTTTTGTAGAAAATTATATGAGCATAGGCCCCCAAAAAAAGTTTTTAGGCCCCCAAAAATTTTTTTACTTAGAAATCGCCACAGACCCCCAAAATCAAATCTCAGAGCCGGCCCTGTATATATAGTGTCTACAAATTCAACACTTTGTTTTAACTTTCTTATTTATTTCTAATCACAGAAGCATTTGACAAACATGGTGGAGAAAGCCTCCATCGAAGACGTAATGAAAGTGCTAATAGCTTCAAGAAAGCAAGACATGCATCACTTATGGACCACTTGCTCTTACCTAGTCTCCAAATCAGGTCTTCCAACAGAGATTCTAGCCAAACACCTCCCAGTGGAACTCGTGGCCAAGGTTGAAGGGCTTCGTCTTAAATCTTTCATGCCTCACCAGCATGACCTAACCTCGGCTCTAGACCTAGAGGACCAGAGGATCAAGAGGATGAGGCGAGCATTGGACTCCTCAGATGTCGAGCTCGTGAAGCTAATGGTTATGGGAGAAGGACTCAATCTAGACGAGTCATTAGCTTTGGTTTACGCGGTGGAGAATTGTAGTAGAGAGGTTGTGAAGGCACTTCTTGAGCTTGGAGCAGCTGATGTGAACTATCCGGCTGGCCCCACCAGGAAAACCGCACTCCACATCGCGGCCGAGATGGTCTCTCCGGACATGGTATCTGTATTACTCGACCACCATGCCAATCCAAACGTTCAGACAGCTGATGGTATCACTCCTCTTGACATCCTTAGATCCCTAACGTCCGATTTCTTATTCAAGGGGATAGTTCCTGGATTGGCTCACATTGAGCCTAATAAGCTTAGGCTTTGTCTCGAGCTGGTGCAGTCTGCAGCATTGGTGATTTCCAGAGAAGAAGGCAAAAATAACAACACCGTGATCTACCCTAGGATGAAAGACGAGCACACGAGCGGGAGTAGTTTGGATTCAAGATTGGTTTATCTTAACCTTGGAGCTGTAAATCAGGATCTCAGAGATGAACATGGCAATCAAACGCATTATCAGCATCATGACCCGTCAATGATGTATCATCATCACCACAACCACCACTTCTAGGTTTTTCTAGAACAATCGTTTTCTAACTATGATAAGATATTCAAGAACTAGTTGATTTTTGTTGTTGTTGTGGTCTTATTTTTTACGTGAGTATGGTATGCCAACAAAAGTAAACGTTTGTTCCAATGAAAGTGGAAGGAAATGAGAAGAGAAGGAGGCCACATACAACATCGTCATATCTTTCTTTATATATATAGGGTTGATATTGTATGATTTGTATCTACTTAAAATTTAGTGGTGATTGGTGAACATAGCATTGTTAAAAACTAAAATAACCTTGCATCAAATATACATTTTTTTTTGTAACTAACATCAAATATACATTTCTCCGATTCTTTTACCTTACTACTAGGTGTTTTACCCGCACATGCGGGCTTAATTATCTTTAAATCAATTTAAAAAATCATCCAAATAAATGGTTATTTGCATCCAAAAACATTCGACCTAAAACAGTAAATTTTTTTACATGATAAAGTTATTCACAAATTAAAAAAAAATCTATTTTTTCTTTTAAAACTTTGAAAAATCTAAAGTCAATTTCATTTCTTCTTAATTAATAAAAAAATAGAAATCTATCTTTCAATTTGAAAAATTGAATCGATAAATATACATTCAAAAATTGATCTTACAGAAAGAATAATATTAGTTTGGATAATAATACAATATATTTGAATTTATTTTTGTCAAACACATTTTTTCTTTCTTTTTGAATGATCTTTTATTTTATATGATTAATTCATGTTTAAGGTTTAACAATATAAAATATAAATATAAATTTAATTTAATATGTGAGTTCAGAGGCGAAAAATAACTTCACAGATATATATCATTATATAATATTATTATATAATTTTACTTTATGAATATTTGTTTATGTGTATGTTTCTGAATTATTTTATTAAAATATATATTTTGGATAACAACATAATATATATAGGAATTATATTTTTTTAAATATATATTTAGATTATGGATAACTCTTATCATTATTATTATTTTAAATCATTTATTTAATCAAATAAGTATTAAATTCGTTTTTATTTCTTGGGGATTTATATATTTTATTCATTAAGGGTATAAACGATATTAACCAGTCTAACTTTTAACGTGGGAGCTCCGTTGTGATCTTACAGAAAGAATAACTAGGTGTTTTGCCCGCACTTGCGGGCTTAATAATTTTACTAATATCTATAAACAAATATATAATCAATTTAAGTAAATTATAATAAATTATTGTGCATACACTCAAAACATTTAATAATAATCTAAACAGATTCTTTCTATATATAAAATTTTTCATTATCATATAAATAATTATCATTGCACAAATTAAATGTGAAATTCTCATAAATTTAAAATATTTAGTAATAAATTAATATGTTTTCTAGACATAACAAAAAGAAGTCTGATAAAATTAACTTTAGTAATGTTTTGGATAACACAATATAAATTATCTATACATATATTCTTTGCAAATTGATTTTTTCATAATTAAATATATATTAACAAATATACTTATTTTTCAAGGTTAATAAAGACTTTATAACATAATATAAAAAGTTAGATAAAGATAATTATCAAATTCATGAAATTCATGAAATTCGTTTTTAATTTAGAATTAATTATATATTACCAAATATAATTATTTTCAAGGTTGATAAACATAATATAATTTTTTAAATAAGGATAATTATCAAATAAATGAAATTCGTTTTTAATTTATAATTAATTATATATTAACAAATATAATTATTTTTCAAGGTTAATCAATATAGATTATCTATACATATATTCTTTGAAAAATGATTTTTTTCATAATTAAATATATATTAACAAATATAATTATTTTTCAAGGTTAATAAAGACTTTATAACATAATATAAAAAATTTAGATAAAGATAATTATCAAATTCATGAAATTAATTTTTAATTTAGAATTAATTATATATTAACAAATATAATTATTTTTCAAGGTTGATAAACATAATATAATTTTTTAAATAAGGATAATTATCAAATAAATGAAATTCGTTTTTAATTTATAATTAATTATATATTAACAAATATAATTATTTTTCAAGGTTAATAAAGATTTTATAACCCAATATAAAATAGTTTTAGATAAAGATAAATCTAAAATCAATTGAAATTTGTTTTTTTATTAATGTTTAATTATATATTAAATTTTTTGATTATTCATTAAGGGTACAAACGATATTGACCACCCTAACTTTTAACGTGAGAACTCCGTTGCGAAAAATCACTTCGGAAATAATAGTATAGATATTAGTTTGGATAATAATATAATATATTTGAATTTATTTTTTCAACAACGTACTTTATTCATTTTGAATGATCTTTAAACTTTGGGAGGAAGAAGTGAAGACTATCATCCCCCAAATGCATGAACCGGGATATCTTATTTATTCTAAGAATACTTATGAACTAGGTGTTTTGCCCGCACTTGCGGGCTTAATAATTTTACTAATATCTATAAATAAATATATAATCAAGTTATGTAAATTATAATAAGTTATTGTTCATAGACTCAAAATATTTAATAATAAACTAACGAATTCTTTTTATTTATAAAATTTTCATCATCATATAAATAATTTTCATTACACAACTTATATTTGAAAATACTCATAAACTTGAAACATTTAGTAATAAATTAAATATCGTTTTTAGACATAACAAAAAAGTATAAAAAATTATGTTTAATAGTGTTTTGGATAACACAATATAAATTATCTATACATAAATTCTTTGCAAATTGATTTTTGATAATTAACTATATATTAACAAATAGAATTATTTTTCAATGTTAATAAAGACTTTATAACACAATATAAAAAAGTTAGATAAAGATAATTATCAAATTCATGAGATTCATTTTTAAATTTAGAATTAATTATATGTTAACAAATATAATTATTTTTCAAGGTTGATAAAGACTTTATCACATAATATAAAAAATAAGGATAATTATCAAATAAATGAAATTCGATTTTAATTTATAATTAATTATATATTAACTAATATAATTATTTTTCAAGTATATTAACTAATATAATTATTTTTCATGGTTAATAAAAACTTTGTAACCCAATATAAAATAGTTTTAGATAAAGATAAATCTAAAATCATTGAAATTCGTTTTTTAATTATGTTTAATTAAATTAATTTTTTTAATTATTCATTAAGGGTATAAACGATATTAACCGTTCTAGCTTTCAACGTGAGAGCTTTCTTGCAAAAAATCATTCACAAATAATAGTATAGATTACCTAAATCACAGAAAGTTACAAATTAATCAGCAAACTCACTTAAATTTTATAATTAAAAAATATATTTTTAAGATAACAATCTAATACAAAAGAATTAACATATTTTCAAAAAATATAATATTATTAACAAAAATTATTTTTATTTTATTTTATAATAAATTATTAAAATATGAAAATAAGCAAAATAACCTAAAATCATGGAGAAGTTGACAACTAAGTAAATTTTTACTTCTAAAATAATAACTGAATAATATATTTTTAAGATAACAATCTAATAAAAAATAATTAACATATTTTCTAAAAATATAATATTATTAACATAAATTCGTTTTTATTATATACTAAATTATTAAAACATGAAAATAAGTAAAATAACCTAAAATCATGGAGAAGTTGACAACTAAGCAAATTTACTTCTCAAATAATGTTATAGATCAATGTCTTCTTGATTCATTGATGAGGAAATGTAATGATTGACAATACCTTTTGGGAACTCCAACAAAGAGATTGTTCGAAGATCGACCTAAAGTGCGTAAGTGGGTGGGTGAGAGTACCTCATGTTAGCTCAGAAACTGCGAGTCATGTACTAACGGGTGCGATCATACCAGCACTAATGCACCGGATCCCATCAGAACTCCGCAGTTAAGTGTGCTTGGGAGAGAGTAGTACTAGGATGGGTGACCTCCCGGGAAGTCCTCGTGTTGCACCTTTTTTTTTTTTAAAGAATTAGCCACTTTAATAATGGAAAAAGCTATGTCTGCTCAAGTGATCTGAATCAAGAACACAAGATTTATTTATGAAGTGGAGAGGGTTTCCCCCTTACTCCCTTAAACATTACAAATTGCCAGCATATGGTTTATACTTCCTTAAATTTTAGTGTTAAACCAAATATTTAGCCTTAGCCTCTCTATCCTTGTTGAGTATTTTGGAAGAATTTGATAGTTTTGGAGCATCTGCCATCTCTTCCAGAACGGATGGCATCAAAGACCACACCGCTTCGTTTAAAAACCATACCTATAGCCGTGATAGAATCGGGATTTTCTAAAGAGATTTGCTCGAGATATGATGGTAGACGTGAATATCCATCTTCTGAGCTAACACGAGGTACTCTCAGAAACGCACCTTCTACTTCGTAAATCAGTATTGCTTCGGCACACTAGTTTATCCGTCAACTGGTAGGAAATTAACCATAGCGATTCTATAAAACCCATAATTACTACCCCTCCCGTGTCTACTAGTCACTCCTTCTTCCCAAAGTAGAGTCTTCCTCCTTCTTACTTGTGGATCACACATTGTCCCATTTACCATGGTAATTTTATTTTTACCATAACTCAACATTCATGAATGCAAGTAGTTTTAATCAAATCACACAAGCCTCAATATGAACCAGAGCTAAGCATTTCTATCTTTCACAACATCAGACAATGCATTACTTTAAGTCGGTTTTAAGTTCATGAGCAAACTGGATTCAAACAATACCATTTAACATCCTAGTACTCTCATAACTAAACCGGAGCAAGCATTTTACTTTTCAATCACCAAAAACAAGGGTTTTAAACAACCAGGGATAAACCACATCATTTTTAATGAGCAATCTCTAATATTATCCTCAGGTTTGACAAACACTACACATCACACAACCAAACACACACAAGCTCAATATCAAGATTGTTAACTTGAAGAAAGAAATGGAGAAACTAAAGGTGTTGGGTTGAGATCTAAAGCTGGTGCAAGGTTGGACTCAAGTCAAGGAGTGACTTAGACACCATTTAAGAAGAGTTGGAGTAGTGTGCAAGATTAGGGTTAGGGCTTGTACGGATTTGGTACAGACGGATGTACTCGGACCGTACGGATCCGTACAAGACCAATATTGCCTTAAGTTGCATAAACTCCACTCTAGTAGAACCATTTGAGATTCTGCATAAATAGGGTTTGGTCACTATTGAGATCACTATTGAGAATAGTGATCAC